ACACACACACACACACACACACACACACACACACACACACACACACACAAAGCACTGCATGTTTGACTGGATCTGTTCTCTCCACATTTTCTTTCTCTTAAAAACGGGAGTCACCTCTCTGTTGCCCGGCTACAGCGAGCCAGGTGTCCCCTGAATGCGGACTGTACCATCATCAAGGCAACCACGTCAAACTCTCCGTCTGCGGAGGATGCAGCATCACGGCGGCTTGTTGCCTCTACGGCCTGAAAACAGGAGTTGAGGACGATAGGGAGCAAAAAAAAAAAAAAAAAAAAAAAAAAGAGAGAAGGAAATAGGAGTTCAGTAAGGAAGGGTGAGGTTGGTTCAGTGGGGGAGACAGAGGGAGAGATGCTTTTTAAGAGCCATCTGGTGGTAATTTAATTAAACTGCAACTCTGATTTACTTCAGCACAGATGTGTCCATGATGACGTCTAGTTGTATTGCCCCAGGCTCAGACAAGGGGTACACATGATCGTCTATTATTTAGTCTTCATTTCATCGTTCTTTACTTTCAGGGTTTGAGTAAGTTAGTGCCGACACGCTGCGTCCTGTGACGCACATCGAGAAGCGTTAAACGCTGCTCCGCTTGACTTAACTCTGTTACGAGGGACAGTGGTTTCTCTCCCGTCACGGCTCAGATCACCTCTTTATTAAAGCGACACTAGCCTGTATGAGTGTCATCCTGATTGTAATTTAACCATGTTGGTCTATTCTCAATCTCTGCACACAACATTGTCTGTCCCTCCTAAATTGCTCTTCAGGAAGTTGCTTCCATTTTTTTCCTATTTTGCAGAGATTGTCTATACATCCTCATCGAGGGTCTAAGTCTCTCCTTAGGGTGCCGTACGCTGTACAGACTGTTGAGCTATAGAGCTGTGAATGGACTTGACTACTTCACTTAATACCAATTCACAACAAGGCGGACAGACAGTAAAGAGAAAGGGACATTGTGAGGACTATAGTGCAAACTGTAGTGCAATATTGTGAGTCTAAACCTAGAATTACATCCTGGTAATTCACTGAAACTATCGTTTTTTAAAGTGATATTGAGACTAAGATGATTGTGAGGTATAAGAGGATTGTTGGTGCGTTACAGACAGAGTGACAGTGAGTGTGTATGGAAGTGTTTGTGTGTGGGTGAAACCTTATTCTGTGTTTCTTTCAGCAGGTCCTTTAGCTGTGACTCTCTGAGGAGATGAGCTCTCAACGCTGACTGCAGCATCACAATGTCCTGAAGATAGAATGCAGAGAGATGGAGATAAGATAAAAGAGAATTCAGTGTCAGGACATTTTATTTATATAGAACTTATTTTACATAATCGTGGTGTGTTGCGTACCCGGTTTCTGTGCTCCCTCCAGTTTGTCTGGATAACCGACGCTGATTTCTCTCTTTCTTTCTTCTCTTCGTCTCCTCCCCCCTCCTTCTCCTCTCGTCCCTTAGTGTCCCTCTCGTCTGCCTCCTCTGGACCTGCTCCAGCCTGAGTGTCCTCGTGGTCCTCTGGCGATGCGGCAGAGAGAGAGGGGAGCTCAGCTTGTGCAGGTTTACTTCTGTCGTCTAGAGTCTGGATCCTCGCCCACAACTGATCCAACTCCAGTCTGAAAACCAAACAGACACACACATGAAAGACACGCAAACCAGTGATGTACTGCAACGTGAAGCCATTTACCAGAGTAGGTAAGCTGCACCTGTAAACAACTCTCCTTTATGATTGAATGTCTTTATAGTATTGATCTGACCATCGACCACACTGCTGTTCTATATTTAGACATTCTCTGCATATAGACAATCCTCCAGTGGATCTCTACAGGGATGCCAACTGTGTTTGCTGGGACGTTTTTGAAGTTACTTCAAAGCATCTGTATGACAGAAGCATCAGCTGTGAAATGTAAAGCCAACAGCCGTCGGTGACAGTTCTTTTAAATTCCACCATAAATACAAAGAATATGAATATGTAGAAGGACAGCTTTTGATTTTAAAAACAAGCAGCACCTCACAAATCTTACTACAGCGGAGATATCGAGAGTATGGCATGTTGAGACGCGTCATTTTAATCATATCACTGTCAAAACACAACTAAAACATACTTATGCTGCTGCTTCTCTTTGTCCCGCACATTTGTCTGCTCAGCTTTCCATCGTTCTGTCTCCGTCTCCGATTCTTGTCTTTCTGTCCTCGACTGTCTCAGCTCATCACTGAAAAACACAAACACAACACAGACTCAAGAACTAAACACTTTATAAACTCTACTCATAGGCTGGTGTGTTCTCCCTCTGGTTTATATGACGGATTAAGATTGTTATTATCATTATTATGACTTGCAAAGATGTGTACATATCATTTAATATACATAAAAACTCAGGCTGCTGCTCACTCACTCTTTACTTGACAGCCTCTCTTGAAGCTCCACCCTCTCCTCCTCCAATTGGTCGAGGCGTTCTCTCAGACCAGAAGGCTCCTCCCCTTCCTCAGTCATCGTTCCCACGGAGACCACTGCCTCTGTTGCCATGGTAAACCCCGGAATCTCCGCGGGCGAGGCCTGGACCTCCCGATCCAATCGGCCGCCGCGCTTTGCTGACTGGGCGTGTCCTCTGCCGTCCTCCAGCCTCTGATTGGACGAGAGAGGAGTCGGTCTGTGATGAAGCAGCTATGTGTGTCACAGGTGACTCCACGTGTTTACACAGACAACTAGTCACAGACAACTAGTCACAGACAACTAGTCAGAGCTTTGTCTCACCTTCTCCACCTCCAACAGCCTTCTCAACAGTCTCAGTTTACTCCACTCTCTGTAACCTACGACACACAGACACACACACACACACTTTTTACAATAACTGAATAGAGCTGGATTAATTAAAGTCCCAGTGAAACTTCAGCCTTTTTTGAAATGAAGTATCTGAGCAGTGCTCAGTTACAAGAGGGATTTCAATCAAATCCTTCGCATTTTATTGGATTGCTAAAAAAGAGGGCGGGTTAAGTAGCACGATATGGAGCTACAGAGGACTGTGGTTGCAGATTGATTGATTGATGGATGTCATGATATTATTGGCTGAAATACTAGTTTACATAAGCACACTTCATATTGTATTTTACAGGAGGGAAAGATACATGAATTTTGATAAAAAGAATACGAAGATTTATATATTGTTAATTAGGTGGATAATATGACCACCGGGGGTGTGATCTAGAAGTCTTTAAACAGACTGTTATAAGACTTTGATAATGCTAATTGACCTGATATTTATCTACTTTTGTTTGTAGGACGGTTGATCATTAGTTGGACATTATGTCATAGTTGATGTCTCTTTACATAACAACCACAAATGGAAAGATTTTGGTGCATATTTGGTTACAAAACATAATAAATTGGATAACAATTAAAACATAAATGACCAATAGTTGATACTATATTGTTTGGGGATTATATTATGATTTATTTTGTATACTATGAGACAATATAAATATATCAAACAAAAAGAGGTTCATGCTGTTTATACAGAAGTAGTTCTTCAAAATGTTATCAGGTTATTGCTGCCAATCAATGAGCACGACTACTTTACGGCAACATCTGATTTACAGGAATGTTTCATCAATGTCATGTACTCAATAATCATAACACCCCCCTATATAGGGTGTCCGTGTGGTTTAGTGTGTGAGAAAAGACCTTTGATTCCTCCTGCAGGACTGTCGGTGCTGAGCTCCTCTCGCAGCGCCATGTTCTCCTGCTGGAGCTGCTTCAGGTTCTCCGACAGACGATGAACCGCGGAGCTCAAAACCTTCTGCTGCCTCTGGGAGCATTTGCTCTCCGCTCGACTACTGCAGACACAAAGAGAGAGCAGGACAAGTTTTTCATGATTCAGTGCAGGGATGGCAGCTTTTTTTTTACCGTTTAATACGTTGACTGATCTGTATGGCCATCCTTTAAATCTGTCTGATGAACAACTTTTACCAAGGGTCCCTCGTCTCAAAAGTCAGAGGGTTTCTATAAAGGGGTTTTTGGTTAGATGCCTTTCACACAAGTTCTACGACATAAAGTACGTCAGTAAATACTGAAAGCTTTGTGTCTCAGAAAAGGCTGCTAACAAGTGACTAAAATACATCATCATCCCTACAGAATTCTATTCAGAGCGGTATAAACACAGGTTTATTCAGGGTCACCGTATGGGGGGGGGTAGAACCGTATGTTGTTACAACTCTATGACACGACTTGTCCTCTAGCACAAATAAACAAGAGCACAGATACTTGATGAGCAGATGCAAACCTTTTCTCTGTAGCTTCTAGAAGCATCCTCAGCCTCTGGATCTGAAAGACGATCGCACAAACACACACTTTACAAGTTAGGCGGCTGAGCTCACACTCGGGGAAACCAAAGCAAACGTGGTGATAACATCGCCTATCACAGCAGCGAAAGGCTATTTGTGGTGGAAGTGTTTCTCTCATTTCTTCGGTGATTGTTTCAGGTGTTCAGATAATATGCCAACAGATTGTTTAACATTTAGGTGGGAAAGGTAACAGTAACAGGGAGACATGTTACCTCGTCAAAGTAGCTTTCTACTGTGATCTTCAGCTCCTCCAGGTTGGTGGTCCTCAGCTCGCTTTGTAGTTTACTGGAGACAAAGAAAAGAGGATAAGCTGAATATTATGCAGCTTCACTAATGAACCAGATGGACTCGTGCAGAGGTGGGAGAGTGTTTTTACCTCAGTGCGTTTTCTTTCTCTCTACACTGCTGCTCCAGCTTCAGGATTCTCTGTTTCAGCCCATTGAGAACCTTGATGGATAGAATCAAGTTGACTAAATCTGTGTAAAAACCATCCTACAAATCATCTCATCGACAGACTGGACGTACTCACCACACTGCCTTCTTTCTTCTTATCCACCAAACTACGAGTATATTCAGATCCCTACAGGACAATGTTTTATTAAATGTATTTTTAAATGCATTTGTTGTTCAAATGACAAAAAGAATAATAATTTAGAGATCATACTTTAGTGGGATCCAACAGCTCTTCTATCTGTTTCTCTCGTTTAGCGTTATCTTCCTCCAGGCGGCGTAGCTTGGCTTTCATTTGCTGGTTGTCGGACTTCTGTGCCTGAAGACTCTGCAGAGAACAGCACGAGTGATTAATCACACAGCGAGAAAGGCAGAAGAGGAATACGCATATGGAAAATCCTGAGGTGTCAAATCTAGATGGACTTTTAATCTGTGTGGAAAAAAAAAAAAAACTCTATCTTCTGCAGAGGAATACAAGTTACAGAACAGCACACTGGAGCCTTGCTCAAGGCCACTTCAGCAGACATCGTGTTATAAAGAAGACAAATCCTCCATCTCGCTGCTACTGACGCACAACGTGTTCTAACGGTGAATTTGTTTTGTCCTGAATCCAACGTTAATTCACAAGGCAAGCTTTTATTTTGTAACTCTTTACCTTCTTGAGTCGAATAATCTCATCGTACATGTCCTCCTTGTCTCTGTAGTCACTTGTGCTGACGGTGAAGCCTGCAAGCGCAGAGGGACAAATGGGGAGATGGTTTAATAAAAACACCCACACTCTCACCTTACAGTCATGCAACACCTGGTGGTCACCCTCACTACCCAGTCTGTGTTCTGGTGCCGTCTCCTCTCCTCGGCCAACTCCTCTGACCCCCAAACTTTCTTTTCTTCCTCTACTTTCTTCCACCTCCACATTGTCTCACCGTTGAATCCGGAGAGGAGATGTTTGTGTTTCCTCGTGCTGAAGGTCTTCTTGAGAAGCTCGGGCGTGACATCACACTCTGACCTCAGTGTCTGGGACGCATCTGAAGAAGGAGGAGACAGAGAGGTTCAAGGTATTTCACAACACGAGTCAGTGCATCGAACACCATCTGAGAACACTTTGTAGTTCGAGCACTTAAACAAGGGATCAGATGACAACGCAGCAAAGCACAGACATAGTGAAGGAGAGACGTCATAGAGGATCTGCAATCCAACAAAACACTGATAATCAAACTGGGATGTTTCTATTATTTTGTCCAATCCGTTTCTATCAGTGAGGGTAGGTTAAATAAGTTCAGCAGCACCACAAACTACATCCTCAAAATGACAGTGACATTTTCAATCAATCAATAAATAAATTCACTGAAAAAATGTTAGACTCAATGTTTCTCATGTTGTTGTTATTCTGCCCCAAGTGGCCAAGAAAATAAATGTATGCAGATTTAAAGGTGCAGGGTGTAGGATTTGGCGACATCAAGCGGCGAGGTTGCAGACTGCAACCAACTCAAACTTCTCCTGTGTGCTCAGTGTGTAAGAGGACTACGGTGGCCGACACAAAAACACTACTGGCCCTACGTAGAGGCAGTGTTTGGTTTGTCCATTCTGGGCTACCGTAGAAACATGGCGGACGGCCCTGTGTAGATATAAACAGCATATTCTAAGGTAACGAAAACGCAATAATTCTAATGTTCAGGAGATTATGCACCAAAGAAAACATTCGTATTTTCATATTCCATTCCTGACAGATCTCCCTAAAGGCTACACACTGTACCTTTAAGGTTTAGAACTCCGGTGTTGAGAAATGAAGCCAACGCAGAAGTGACAAAAGCTGAATATACATATTTACTCTTTGCCCATTTTTGTACTAGCCCAGAGTTTTAGGCTGTGTTGTCACCGACAAGATGGAGACAGCCGGAGTCACAAACTTTGAGGTTCACAACAACTATGACCATAGTTTATACAGTCAGGAAAGATCCTGCCAAATGGAATATTGTTGTAACACGTGCACAGTTGCTTATCATCAGCTTTCCAACGACATACTGAGCAAAGTCAGCTGAACTAACTTGAGTCTCTCCCTTCTCGCTCTACCCGTCTCTCTTTCCGTGTGAGCCTCAGCAGCCACTACTCCTCCCACCATCTTGTGTGTGTTTATGTATGTGTGTGTGTGTGTGTGTGTTGCAACTACCATGGCCGTTGCTGAGGGATGTGAGGCGAGCTGAACCACTCCCCCCAAGGGTGTCCCCTCTGGTGTCCCCAAGGGAGGCCCTCGGCAGTCTCCAGGCCGCCACCGCTGCTCTCCTGGGGTTCACATTCATACTGGAGAGGTACGGAGACCCTACACATACACACGCTGCACATAAACAATCATGGAAGTTGGAAAGCGGGGTTTGTTACGGTATCAAACTGTCACCACAGAGCAGCTGAGCGGGTTCTTACTTGGAGACAGAGGAGGCTTGTTGGAGGATCTCTTCCTTCTTTTTATCTGATAGTGAACAAAAACAAGGCGTTAAAGCCGATGAGAGGCGTGTCAATCAAACACTGATTAAATTCATGACAATAAAAAGTTAATTTGTTTACCTTTTCCAAAATATCGGCAGAGAAAGAGAAGCGATCCTCGCCCTAGGTTGGACACAGGAGTGAGGCAGAGGGAGGGAGAGGAGAGAGGAAACATGAATCCATAATAATAGTTTCTGCTAAAAATGTTTAGCATGTTTAGTTTGCCTGTCACATTTACTCTCATACACCAGTGGTTCTTAACCTGGGTGTTTGGAATTATGATTATAGGGACAAAACATAAATAAATATTATATTTACATATTTGATTTAATATTTTCTTGTGAAATACTGAATACTCTAAAGGGATTGGTTGAAACACTCATCACAAAGACATTACAAGTCGACATCACTTCAATTTAAGGAGTCACAAGCCCCAAAGTGTTGGCAACAACAACTGCCATAAACTGTTGTGTTGTGTTTGTGTTTTAGGCTCAAGACACAAGTGTCGTAAATGGCACAACTACAGAGGACTCACCAGCTCCTCGTAGTCTTCATCAGTCTGAGCATCACTCGCCTCCAGAGACATCTTAGCGGTGGCACTGAACATAGCTGGGAAGCTAAACTTTCTCCGTTACGTTAATCCTCTCATTTCTTTCAGGTTGCCTCTCTCGCTAACGTTAGTAGTAAAAAAAAAAAAAAAAAAAACACAGGGCAACAAAAGAGACGTTAGCTGAACTACAACACGGATGTTCGTCCCACGTTAACACCGCGGACTCTGCGCGTGACGAGCCGTTGATGCGGTGATAGACACTTGTTGACCGTATCTTCCTGAAATCCGTTAAAACGCAGTTTTCTTTCCTTGCAGGGGGTCACTGTTTGCACATCGGTGTTGCGGATTGAGTCGTCTAGCAACCAGAGGCAGCTGGTTATGAGCTGCGTCAAACGAGCTAGAAAACGTCAGATGAGTACCGGAAACTACGCGACTGTGCCTTCAAAATAAAAGTATACACAGGATTTTAAAAAATGGCACACTTGTGATAAATTAGGTTTAGCACGATCTATTTATAATAAACTATATATTTTGGATCACGTATATTTTTAGACAGGGCACATAATTGTACTATTCTTAAGAAAATGGCAACACGTTTTTCAATAAAATGTTTATTTTGAAATTTGAAACTAGTTGTACATTTTGAGCTCTGTGTAGCTTGATGGAGTAAATAACTGAAACCACTGCCCAGGGCTGAATGTCAATAGTTTTCCTCTCCCTCCTTGCTTCTGACTCATTTCCTCACGTTGCACATTGGTGAAGAGATGCATAAAGGTGGGACTTAAAGTGATTCCCTCCAGTAACAGGAGAGAAGGAGACAGGGAAGGACAAGGGAAGGAGACTTTTGAGACTGATCCGGTGTTCCCTGTACTGCCTGTTAGAAGATCTTGACCACAGCAAGTAAACATGGGACTCCCATGTTGTAAAGTACATAACATTTTACATACACAGAAAATGATTGCACATTAAAAACATAAATAAAAATACTTATATGTAGTTTTTATATATAGATGACAACGTCTTTACAAAATCAAAGACAATATCCTCACAGTAGCTTTAAAAACGTAAACTTCCTCCAACTTTTTTTCCCTTGTTTTATATTTTTGTACGTCTAAATATATTCTGAAACATGCATAAAACGCTTGATCTGTTTTGACATATTGTAATAGTTATAATAGTTGTATTGTATCAGCAAAATTAGGGCATGGAACTTGCTTTCCTTGTTGTTCACTTTCTTCCTTTCTTTCTCCATCATTCCATCCTTCTCTTGGTCCCCAGATAGGCAGGAAACCGCACTGTAATACAACTAATGCGAAAAAAGAAGTTACCATGGATGCTGCCATCTCTTGACCTATACAGTAGACCAGCCTGGCATAATGTAGGAGCTTCCTTTTAATGTAGAAACAGGAAATAATTCAGGTATGTCCGCATTGCTGAATGCATTTGGGAATGTACATTATATGTGGATGATTTACGAAGAATTTCTTCCACAAACGGCCATTTCCTCCTTTTGCATTGTTCTTCACAATCTCCTCATCTTCCTGCGGAGAACACACTGGCCTCTTGTTATTGTATCATATTCTCGTACACACTGTTTGTACAGGTGGTGGACCCCCAGAGCCACACAGCCAGGCAGACCAGCATACTTTTGCTCAGGGCCAACAAACCCATTGCAGATCTAATCTAAGACATACAGTTGTCTGGTTTAAAAGAGTTAAACTGGTTCAACAAAAATATTTTTTGGGAGCCCAGGAGTCGAGAAGACTATACCTGCAGAGTCTGTGAGTCAACAAACACGGTTTCCAGAGAGATCATCTCTGCAGAATGAGAATGTAAGGCTGAACATGATTCCACACATACTGAAGAACGGTCACCACATCGGCAGTGTGAGTGAGCAAACAACACGCCAATCAACTCTCGTGTCTCCAGTTGTTGCAAAATCGACACCTAATAATTTGGAAATGTGCTGTGCAGTGTGAGTGTAGATTGTATCGTGGATGTTGTTTCTGTATTTCTGTGTTACTAACTTAACTTTGAATAAATCAAACAAGTATTCCGCGCAAACAACCCCAATCACCTCACAGACAAAATCCTGTATGTATAAACAACCTCAAGCCTCTTTTCTACTGTTGTTGCTGGTCTCTCCATTGCCCACTAACTGAACTCATGCAGATCAATGTCCTTGTTGTTGTTCTCTGAATGCCCAGAAGGGGGCAATGTGTTCTAAACTGAACCAAGGCCATGCTTCTCCAAGCAGAGGCCGAGTCCTGCTCCCAGACCCCAGCCTTGTTCAGACGGTCAGTTCCACACTCACCACTTTGCTCTCTTAAACTGATTCCTGCATGTGTTCTCCAGTGTCACCTCCCTCCCATCACATCACATGTTTAGTATCATGCAGTTCTTCTTCTGCAGATGGTAATTTAACCAAACATTGGCTCATTAAGACAAAAGTCAGTAAAAAACATTTTCCTTACTTTGAATATGAATATTGGGGATTTGTTCAAATTATGGAAATGATTTTCTGTTGTTACAACTCTTTCTTGTTTTTCCAGGTGACAACATGCTAGGGCTGCAACTAACATTTTTTTTAGCTATTAAGTAATCATGTTTATAATTAATCGATGCATTATTTTACCTAGAAAATGTGAAACCTACCTAAGTGTAAAAGAGCAATAGAGTGGAACTGCTTATTATTTGATAACTGTCAAAAACCACAAAAGTATTCAATTAACAAGCAAAACCTCAAAACCTAGTAAGCTAATAGATTTGGGATTTAAACAATGATTAATTTTCACTTGATTGACACAATGACATGTACACACTCCACATGTGTTATGGGCTTTGCGGGACAGAAAATAGCATAAATATCGATATGTAAACATAAACTTATGCAAATGTGCATGCTGTGACCTACTCTCGAACCTTCCTGTTCTTCACATTTAGAGAGGAACTTCCACTCAGGGAAAACCAGAAAAGCGTGTCATGCTTTTGCAAAGTACACTCAGCAGTATAAGTGAGTTATTTGAGTTGCACTGGTCCTCCAAAGAAAACAGACAGTAACTTATAGGTGAGTAGGATGGACATTACAGGACATAGGACTCCACTTACATCATTCCACTGACGCAGATCACTTTTTAAAAGGCAGCTGTCTAAAACACTCCAACCAGATATTTAATTACACGGCCAAAACAACCAACCGACATAATCACATACACGGTTAAAATAAGAAGAGGCAAACAAAATGGCTTAACAGGATAACATGGCTTCTCGTGGGGCTTTTGCATCGCCCTGCTGATATTATTGTATGAGGTGTGAGGGGAAATGATAAGCACGCACGCGGTAACAGTCTCTCCAGTATAAATAACAGCGGATGTGCAGACAGGAGTGATAACAGAGCCCAGGGGAAGGAGGACGGAAGAGACAGGCGGGGCTGAGCCGGCCAGCGGACAGACATGGGTGGAGCGAGGTCGGGAAACAACTGAGGCTCATAACCCTGATTTATAATTATGCCGTGGACGTCTGATGTGCGTCCTCCAAAGCACAATGTTTTTCACCACCTGCACGGCTGCAGATACTCATTCAACACAGTCCTGTAACTAATCTATTCAACCCAGAAAAAACAGCTGCAGAGCAAAAGTACACATGAAGTAAAAGCAGTGGTGGAAGGTATTTACTCCAGTAGGCTAGTGTGCTTTAGTACAAATTTGAACAACTTGTACTTTACTTTAGTATTCCCATTTTATACTACTTTATACTTCTACTTCACTACATTACTGAGGGAATTATTGTACTTTTACTTCACTACATTCAGCTGACAGCTTTAGTTACTTGGTACTTTGATGAAAATTGTACATAAATAACAGAGAGGTTTATCAAATACATTTCTAAATTCTGAATTCAGAGCATTAAAATAGCAGGAAACATTTACTATGTAAAGATAAAGTGGAGGGATTTCTAGACCTGAGCAGAGAATGAAGTCACTCTCCCCGTGTGTGTGTGTGTGTGTTGTAATCTGAGCTTCTCTTGTTTGTGCCCCATCGATTAGCTAACTGTCGCCCTGCACTATATGCGCTCATATGGCAGTCACAGCTAACGCAGTCCCCCCTCAGGTAAACACTGTTAGCTCTGTCAGCACTGCTCCCATTGTTTCAACTGTGCGCTGTTAGCACCGTTAGCTGCAAGCCACCGGCTCAGCCGCCGCCATGTTGAGAGCCGTGTGGAGGCAATCCCTCCGTCACAGATTTGCTCAGAATTTGGAATTTAGTACCTTAAAGATTAAACCAGTGGTTCCCAATCATTTCAACCTGAGACACTTTACCAAACAAAACAAAAAACTGTATCTTGTTGTGGAAATCCTTCCCATGTTGCAAATGTCTAGTTGAGTCGATAGCTGTTTGGTGAGTTGTTTGGCATTTTGCCTCTAATCTTCTCACATGATCTTGTTTAAAAATTAAAAAAAAGTGGTTCAAAGAAGTAAAATTATTCTACATTTCACAAGTAGAATGTGTGTATCAGAACTTATCCCTGCTCACGACCCATCCAATTTATCTGGTGACCCTTTGGAGGGGCCCGAACCCCAGATTGAGAACCTACTGGACTAAAGTAGGTAAAACTAGCTTTAACTCAACCAGCATAACAGTAAAATGCTGTTTACACGTTGACTTAGCAGTATTACATCTAACATTGTCAGTAACTGCTGCTATAGAACCAGAACGTTTACTTTTGATACTCACTAAGTCTACATTTTGCTAATAATACCTCTGGACTTTTACTGAGGTGGCACTTTGAAGGCAGGACTTGTGGTTGTAACAATGCATTTTTATAGTGTGGTATATGTGTGTGTGTGTGTGTGTTACGTAAATGATCTGAATACTTCGTGAACAGACCTACTTTTGATCAGATATAGATCATCTCGTTCTAATAAAGATTACACCTCAGTGTCTTCATAAGCCAGCACGCAAACACACACGCAGCCCTGAAGACAAACACTGTTCTGTCAGTGGGTGAATGGCTCTATCCATGTGGAACCGAGGATGAGCACATCTCAATTAGAGTGAGGGAAAGTAAGGGGGGAGACACGGATTAGTAATAGTTTGGATGATACTGTGTGGAGTAGTATGTGAACAGTGGTGGGCCGGTTTATTCCAAAATAACAGTAAATCTCCCTCCAGCTCCTCTGCCTGTAACTTGGGCGTGTACCGCCTTTAGGGGGAAGGAAAAAAAGCTCACAGACTTGAAACTCAGTGAGGCAGTCTGGATTTGCAGTCAGGGGAGACTCATCATCATCAGTCAGCAGAGAGCATCTCTCTCTCTCTCTCTCTCTCTCTGTCCCTCCCTCAGACACCCCCACATTCCCCCTCTCTCTCTCTCTCTCTCTGCCCGTCTCTCTAAAGACAAACATCTCGTCGCCTTTCTCTCTTCTTGACTCACGGCAAACATGTCCGCAAACGGCGCCGACGGGGACCTTCTGCAGATCCCTCTGGGGCTCATCAACAGCGACGGCAAGTATCTGACGGCCGAGACCTTCGGCTTTAAAATCAACGCCTCGGCAAGCAGCCTGAAGAAGAAGCAGACCTGGACCCTGGAGCAGACCGGGGAGGACGGCAGCGCCGTGTTTCTCCGCTCCCACCTGGGCCGCTACCTCGCCACGGACAAAGACGGCAACGTGACCGCGGACAGCGAGACGCGCGACGGCAAAGACTGCCGCTTCGTGGTCACCGCGCACGAGGACGGGCGGTGGTCCATGCAGTCCGAGCCCTACGGCCGGTACCTCTGCGGCAGCGAGGACCGGATCACCTGCTTCGCGCAGGCTGCTACGCCGGCGGAGAGGTGGAGCGTGCACCTGGCCGTGCACCCGCAGGTCAACCTGTACAGCCTGGCGCGCAAACGCTTCGCCCACCTGAGCGCGCGCGGGGAGCGGCACGAGGTGTCGATAGACCGGGATGTCCCCTGGGGTGTGGACTCGCTCGTGACGCTGGTCTACCGTGACCAGCGCTACCACCTCGAGACCTCCGACAACCGCTTCCTCCGCAATGACGGCAGCCTGTCTACGAACACGGACAAGGACACCGGCTACGTGCTGGAGTTCCGCTCCGGGAAAGTGGCATTCCGCGACTGCAACGGCCGCTACCTGGCGCCCTCGGGCCCAACCGGCACAATGAAGTCTGGGAAAAGCACTCGGTTGGGGAAGGATGAACTGTTTGGCCTGGAGCGCAGCCACGCGCAGGTCGTGCTGACTGCAGGCAACGAGAGAAACGTCTCCACGAGGCAAGGTGAGGCTCTGCGGTCATTCAGAGCCAGAGAGAGAGAAATCCCATTTCACCACACAGATAGACTCGCCGCATAACCGGGCATACAACTGATGCAGCTGTTGCATGATTTTGATGCGTGTCTGTGAAAGAGTGAGAGAGATAATTAGAGACTCCTGCTACTTAATTTCTCTCCCACCATGTGTTTTTCATTATCATGCTCTCACTTTCTCCCCCCCTCCCCATCCCTCCTTTTTGGCCAGCCTCTGCCTATAGCTTAACATTTTTCTGCAGTAATTCTACCCCTGCATTGTGGCCGCTGGTTCAGGGTCAGCTTCAGTCTGCAGTTATCCCTCATTCTTTATCTCAGAATAGACCGAGGAAATAAGGACGGACGGCGTGGAGGAGACAAAAGGGATAAAATGGAGGAGAGGCAGAGGGAGGTGTGCCTCAGATGGTCCTGGATGTGGATCTTTGTGCAACCTCTTTGTCTTGTCGCCACTCAGTCTCACTCTGGGCTGCCATGCACATGGGACTGATCACTGACAGACGTTTATATCCATTCAGTCAGTGTGTGTGTGTGTGTGTGTGTGTGTGTGTGTGAGTGCATTCCAGGAGAGATGGCTTGAAGAAGAAAGATGATCATGTTTGAATGAGGTCAGTGTAGGGCAGTGACTTGTGACATGTGGACATTAAAAAAATAATTTTAAAGGACCACCTGTGCTTCTGCATTTGTAGCCTAATAACTCTGGTAGGCTCAGTGTGGCACAGACACTTTGTTATAGCCGGCGACTCAACGATAAGAATCAAGAAAGGGCCCGTTTATTAACCAGTGTCTTGCACCGAGACAGCTTTTCGCTTCAGTGGGTCAAATGACAACCTGTTGTGCAAAAGGTGCCGCTCGCAGTGACGAACCCACAGAGGACCCACAAAGCGTTTTAGCGTCCTGCAGCTCGTTGTTTTGGTTCAATCCCACCGCTTTCAGAAGCGTCATTTTCAGATGCGGCGGTTTTCAATGTGAGAGCTCTGATAATCCGACTGTACGCTACCTGTCCGCCACCAAACGGCACACGGACACAGTTGGAGACTAGCTGGTGAACACAGTGCAGCATTTAGCAGCTAAAGAGACGAATACTTGGTGTAGACTAAAATAGAGCTTTAAGTGAGTGAATATTGGACTTAGATTCATCAGTTGATCAGAAACACGACTGCAAAGGACCGCTAATGTTTCTGCGTGTCTGTTTGATGTGTATACATGCAGCTAACATGTCCACGATGTCAACTTTGTAAGGTGGTGTTATGCAAGTGTTGTGTTTGCATAACTAGTGTTCTTACATAACTGAGACCTAGTCTAAGTTATGCATGAGCACTCGTGTTTAATGCATAGGCCTACTACGTATTTAAAGTGCACAGCCATGAAAGGCGTGCCAGGTTTTTTTTTTTTTTTACCTTCTGCATTTTTGCAGTTTTGAATTGATGTCTCAAGTCTACAGTTTATATATTCACCATTGGAGAAGCAGTCCGCAGTATCCTCATTAGATCAGAATGCAGTCACATTTTTGGCAGATTTTACTGATAACTGCAACTCCTTTTTGGGGTTTTTATTTGGAAAAACGTGCTTTATGTTTATCTTGGGGCCACACCTTTCTCCTTCTTCTTCTGCAGTTGAATTTGCGGTAGACTAAACACACCACAGTTCATTTGTAGACCTCCATTGTGTGATTTATATCCTCATGAGTCCAGAACGATTGAAAAAAAATTGATTCCAGATCTAAAATGTTTCAAAGTTTCCCACAGTGAGAATTGACTTTTGGGCAGAGAGTTCAGGGTGTCCTGTCTCTTTAAGAACCTATCTGGGGAACTTCACAAATTAGAGGGAAGGAGAGTTTCAGACTAACCTCCAGAGATGAATACAATCTGACAACGGACTGCCCCACTTTCCTAGGTATGGACCTGTCAGCCAATCAGGACGAGGAAGGGGACCAGGAGGTCTTCCAGTTGGAGATGAGCCGTGAGGACAGGAAGTGTGCCTTCAGAACCGCTTCTGGGAAATACTGGACTCTGACAGCAAGTGGAGGACTGCAGTGCACTGCCTCCACCAAGTAACCACACACACACACAGTGCATGATGATGACTATCACACACTTAAGTTCACACACAGTGAACACGCACAGTCTGAATCATTGAGTTTGTTAACGTGTGTGTCGCAGGTCGGCTAACAGCTACTTTGAACTGGAGTGGCGTGACGGTCGTGTGTGTGTGCGCGCAGCCAACAACAAATATGTGATCGCTAAGAGGAACGGACATCTAGCTGCTACCGTCGACGGCGCAGGTCAGTGGCGTTCCTGAAATGATGTCATGTAGCCCAGAAAATATTCTGTTTTTAAGTCCAGGGTCAGTACTTCTCCTCATCTAGGATATCTTAGTACTTTGTACTCTTTCCATCGCTAAAAAGGAGAAATAATACACCCTGTTTACCAAAAGCACCTTCACGTTTAGATCATCTTAGCAAAACATTTTACGCCGATGGGCATGATCATCTTTCCTTCGAGATGCTTTTTCTGTTGGATGCAACCCTGATCAGCTTGTCTCTTCAGGGGAGGCGGAACAGTTCCTGATGAAGCTGATCAACCGTCCAATCATCGTGCTTCGTGGGGAGCACGGTTTCATCGGAGCTCGTAAAGCAGGAATGGCATCTCTGGACTCCAACCGAGCATCGTACGATGTTTTCCAGCTGGAGTTCCACAACGGAGCTTACTCCCTTAAAGGTGGGCAGTTTACAGAATTTATATAACATTACTGCTGGCCGTTTTCCACAACATGGCAATGCTGGTTAAATTAAAGCCCAAAGAATATAGAAAACGGGAATATGGCATGTTCTACCATCCTGATGGCAGAGGTTTTTGATTATAGAACAGTGGGACAGTTTGCCAGTGTCTTTTTTGATACTAGCACTTGACGGTGTCAAAGTCAAAAATGTTCAAAATGACTAGTGACTATACAACTTTTTTTGGCCACATGGGGTCAGCAGAAACGAGCTGTAAGCACAGCATTCACATATTATTGAAACGGCATCCCAGTCCACACGCTGTTGCCTTTTTAAACAATGTTTGTCAATACCACCAACGCTTTACCACACGTAGCAATTTGCTCAATTGCTAATATAAAATATTGATTAGTGCAGCTTTAAATTAAAACACTTTGTGGAAAATGTATGTAATATACAGTATGTTGTTGTTTTTTGAGAAAAACTGGAGCAAACTAACTTCTGCTTTCACCGTGTTCATCAGCATGCATTGCTGTCTGTCAATGCGTCTTTCTTACCACTTAACTTCATCAAAAGATTTACATGTGAACACGTAGTCATCTTTATATACATTATGTGCTGTTTGTCCAGACTCCCAGGGGAAGTATTGGTGTGTTGGAGACGACACGGCGGTGGGGTGCAGCAGCGCCACACCTGTCCAGTTCCTGTTTGAGTTCTGTGACCTCAACAAGATGGCCATCCGCGCTCTGGGGGGGAAGTACCTCAAAGGGGACCATGCTGGAGGGCTGAAGGCCAGCGTCGACTCACTGGACAGCGCCACCCGCTGGGAATACTGAGACCGAGCACAGCCGGACTTCTCCACTATCTGACACGACGCTTCAAACTATTCATAAATACTGTAGGTAGCTAGGTTTTTCTGCATATGAATGTGTGTAGTTGTGAATTTGTCTGGATGGATGTGTGGTGGAAATTGAAGCTGATAAACTGGAAGTCATGGCACCAAAGCACTGCAGGTGTTTTTTCTTTTCTCAATCCTTAACTCTTCTCACCGGGCTTTTTACTGGAGTTTTGGATGTACGATGTCGTTTAATGAACGAATAACAGTGTGATTATTTCTTTCACTTCCAGTCACGTTAACACAAGCCGTACCTGACAGACGTCCGGACGATTGCTGTTATTAGTTGTGTGCCTATCCGTGGTAACTACTGGTGTAAGCAAACATATAGAATGCTATAACTCATAATATCTAGCCTTCTCCTGTTAAAATGTCCTGCTGGCTCTTATTGCGCTGCTTTCATCTCCTGCTCTTTTTTTTTTTTCAAACTATATAAAGCACAAACACGCATCAGATAAATGGATGTTAGACTTACATGTTTCTGCTGTAAATAAAGGCTGTCTTTGTCCCTGAATGCTTAAAAAAAAAAAACATAGTAACCATGGAAACATTGAGTGCAAAAGTGTGTTGAGAGGGTGTAAAGAAATAAAATGGGATGTGGCTTGCAGATCTAACATGTTCTTTGCCTGTATGCTACTAACTGCACCTCCTCAGATTTCCTTTGTATAGACTGATGCATCTACAGGAAGTAGTCAAAGGTTTTCCTTAAAGACTGTAATCCACTCCTGATTAGAAGGTTTTTGATTATACTGAAGGAGGTAACAAGGCTTCTTAGAGAGAATAATCTTCCTTGCAGTGGGTAAGGACTAGTTACTACACTCTGAAATGCACATAAGTATGCAGTCATAGATACATTAATTCCTACTGTGACTCAAAGTCTGCACAATAATGTCCCAATTGCAAGAAGTGAAAAGCACATGTTTGTGTTAGATTGGGTGCTGCTGTTGGTGTGTAAACACAATGAAATGTGTCTGTGCCTTCCATAGAGCACTTCAGTCTTTTTCATGTTCTTACATTTGAAATGAACACAATAAAGATTTTCCTCTTAACAGCAGACTGTCTTGATTTGATTTTTTTTATTTGTCCATTTTCTGAAACATGGATATTCCACAGACCTTCCTGTCAACAGTTTTTATTGGATCTACTTTCTACCAAAGAAATAGTCTCAAAGGAAACTGTTGGCAGTAATGTGACATGTGGTTGTAGCGAAGCTAGTGGCGTGAGCGCCGCAGGAATGAGTTCTAAAACCCAGAAGTGAGTCAGTATCTTTGCTCTTCTGGTTCCATTGTCTCAAATTCAAAACATGATCACGCTGACTGGTCCGCCTTTACAGCCTCGTTGTGTTTATACTTGCGTTCATGCAACTGTGGTGTCATTTTGTTTTTTAGCCTCACGTTACCTTTTTACTTCTGCCGATTGCAGTCGCTTCAAAAATCATGAAATAAAAGTGGTGTTATTTTTGTGAAGATTATCCTGCTGAACAAACTTGTAAGTATAAACGTTTCTTGGTCACTTATTTTCTGGAATAATTCAATGGAAAAATGGCTTTTTGTCGAGGGAACCAGTGTGATGCTGAATTCCGGGGTTGGCCTTATAGTGAATACCATCGGATGGACTCCCATTGACTTTCATTTTGTTTGGTCAGTCATGTTCCACTTCAAGATAAACTGTAAGGACTTTGGTGATCCTCTATTTTTTTGACCTAGCGCCACCAGCTAACAAACAAATCTAATTTGTCCTACACTTCGGTTTAAGACCAAATACCTGCAAACTAATGACACTTTGTGTTTAGCGCTATTTGCCTAATGTTTGCATGCTAACATACTAAACTTACTGTAGATGGTGAACACATTACATGCTAAACATTAGCATGTTAGCATGCAGACGTCAGCCTCACAGAGCTGCTAGCGTGGCTTTAAACTCTTGTTTGTAATTTGGGTGAACAGATGGGTAAAATCCCAGAAAATAGAGGCTGCAGAATGTATGTTATGATAAAGTATTTTTGGTCATTAAATCAAATCAAACAATGAATTGATCCTGCTGTATCTACAGTTTAATATACTGTATTTCATTCCTCTAGAGCTCTATTACTCCATCATCACTGGTGCAGTGGGTGTCACGTTTCTTCTCTTTAAACCTGAATAGAAAATTGACCATCTAGACTTTAAATTAGTGACTAGTCTCAGTTTATCCAATCCACAACAGCCATCTTGTGCTGATAAGAAAATCCATTGTCATGATTTCTGCAAATGCTGTTGTGTGTATGTGTGTGTGTGTGTGTGGGAGAAGGATGAAAGCGCCCGCATCTCGTCCCCTTGAGATCTCCCTGATGCCAAAACTGTAAAAGAGAAAGGAAGGCGAGGGAGGAGGGTGAAGGGAGGTAACCTACTCTACTTTCTCCGTCCCGCTGCAGAGGTACCTCGGCTCTCCTCTTCTAACAGCCATTGTAACTAACGAGTGGCAAACGTAACGTGTGTGCTCTGATACAGACGGACACAGGAACCGACCCAACAGGCATCCTCCGCTCTTCGCTGCAGTGGCCCTGCATGTTGCCATGGCAACAGGTAATGGCAGGGACTTGGCTTGAGGAGGATGAATATCTGGAGATGCAACACACAGAGATATATCAATAATCTTAATACACCTTGTCATAATCAGACGATGAGTGAGTGAAAAATGACTTATAAATAAAGATTTTACGTTAAGCACATACATGTGATAGTCCCGAAATGAATTGGAGCTTTTACATTTGCTCACACTAATACAAGAATCCTCCTAACTCTCATGTCCTTTCAGTCAGCCTGTGTCTGTTAGATGTGTGTACATAACATCTGTAAGAGAAAACACACGGCAGGTGTCTTGAAGAGGAAAAAGCTAATACGGCACTCGAGTGGAGGAAGGGCGACAGGCGGAGGAGGAAGACAGGAAATGAACGAGGTGGAAGATGAAAAGAGAAGATGTGCTTATTTCCCTGCATTGATGCATGCGAGAGGAAAGTCCTGAGTCAGCCAGGGTTATAAGACTCTTAGAGGGGAACATCGCCTAAATTAAGAATTCCAATAGGTTATTATCATGGCCCTTCACACTATCATGGCCATTTCATACCCAAATGAGCTTCATTCTATTGTAGTGTTGTGAAACAGAGAGTGTATCCATATACTCAGAACATTCCCCTGGGTGCCCCTCAGTGTCATCTTTGGGGCTGCTAACATAACGTCCTCTATTCCATTGTTGTCAATGTAGACGCATGCTCAAAAGGCAGAGTGACACCGCAGCACAACACATCCTCTTGGGACCATGAATGTTTGTGCCCATTTGTTTGTGTAAATCCCTGTGGTAGATTTAGAAATATTTTACTGGATAAGTCAAAACTTTTAGCTTCTGGTGGCACAAGATGAAATGTTAGAGGATCATTACAGTCAGAGGGCTTCATCCTCTGGGCACCAAGCATGTCCGTTGAAACTATCCCGACAGTCCATCGAATAGTTTTAGAAGTTTTTGGAACGTAACTGAAATGGTGGGGGCGGCTGACCAGCCAACATTGTCTGCCCTCGAGCATTAAAGATCCCGTCTTTATGTGGACTTCATCAATGGCTGGAGTTTTCACAGAGTGTAAGTGGTTGAAAGCTCTGGAGGAAAGCTAGTAAGTGGACCTGGAGTTAAGTAAAAAGAAAACAACAATTTCAAATGTCAAGTATGAACTTTTGTGACCAAAACAGTTACTAATAATATATTCTACTTTTACGTGGCACAAATTTATAACATGCAGCAAATAAATTGGCCATAACGTTAAATGTGTGGTTTCTTTGTTTTTGAGTCTCCAGTTATAGCAACAGCAATATTCCAGTGTATAACGTCTGAACAGGCTTAACCTGAGTGTTGGGTAATGTCCTAATGGTGTCTGCTGCTGCCATCTAGTGTGGATGATTGGAAAATGATTTTGACTTGTGCTTTATATGGCCGACAGTATGTTAACGTCTCTGTTTTTCACGGTTCAGACTGGTTCCAGTTAAAAAATGTTATTGTCAACATGGCAAAGCCAGGGAAATGAATTCATTGTTCTTTCAGTCTGTTGTGAGAACTTGACTGTACTGACCTCAACCCCATCCAACACTTTTGGGATGAAATTGGACACTGACTGTGCGCCAAACTGTGTCACACGACATCCTTTGGGATGAACTTCTTGTGCTTTAATGGGATCAAATTGCTGCAACAAGGTTCCAAAATCTTAGAAATGTTAAGAGTTATAGCAGAACATGAATGCATATAGTTTTGGAAGATGATGAACAATCACATGTGGGTGTAAAGTTAAGGTGTCCCCGTACTTTTTAGCTTTTTTTGTACATACTCCTGACAGTATTGTTGAGCATTCACCTACAGAGAAACACAAGTGGTTTCTTTGCAAAAATGCAGGAAGTGCTGCTATTCATGCCAAAAGACTTAAAACTGCTTCAGACAGTGAACAGGTCCATGTTGAAGGATGCCTGACGGCTGCATCCAGTGAAAGTGCCGTTGCAACCAGCGGCTCAGGTGAGTTTGTCGGCAAGTTTGTTCTTTTCTTCTTTTTTAAATTTATTTGAATTGTTCCTGTCTTATTTGCTCTCTTATATTAAATGGGAAGTACTGACCTTCTTCAAGGGTAGAGATAAGAGACAGTACAAACTCATGCGGGCACCCAAATGCACTGCACACATTGACAAATCATCACAGTATCTGTTTACCCACCGATAGCCACGTCCAGCCGAGACAGTGCGAGTCAGAATGAGACAGAGAGGGAGAGTAGTGTCCCGTATCTTGTGATAATCATGGCACGCGCCAGGAAGAAAAACAATGAGGGAGGTTATCTAAGACCCTATTGATGGCCTCATACAAATGTGATCCCCATCTGCTGTGCTATCAATCTGTTTGACTTTAGCACGCCCCTAAGTGCTTCTCAAGAAATCCATGTTGGTGTGGTCCACTCAGGCGGTAATCATCAGGCTGCGGATATTATCTCTGAGTGGTTAAAAAGTCAGAGCAAAGCTGCAACATATACTCAAACTTAATTCCAGTGTTTTTATTAACAGGATGTGTGCAGAATATCTGTGTGTGTGTACAACATGTGTGTTTGTATCATTACAGAGAAGCCTTCCATGACTCATATGTATGGTGTAAATATGTCTTGCATGTGTCTGCGTCTTGGTTGCGTGTGCATGAATGACTTCTCTTTATGGTCATTCTCTAGGAACACAATAACAAAAACCATGTGGGGTTAATGGACCAAGAGCAAAGCAAATAAGGGAAATGAGCCAAAGTTATGGCCACCGGGTATAATCTATGGCATTTTAGGTTAACAACGCAAGGCTGAAAAGGACTTGCACATACAGGTCACTAATGTACACTATTAATAGGGACATTGAACGTCGTCGGAGGTGCTTGTCGTTGTTGAAGTTGATTTGAAGGAGCTGGAAAACAGCATGTTTCATCAATATTTTAGCTTTTATTTTATTGTTTTACGGAAGCTAAAAGTGGTTGATGTTCCATGACTCACACTCTCCCTAAACAAGAGCTCCTGCATGTGTGACCAGTGTGAGTCCTTCCAATATGGTGATTGTTGACATGCCAGTAAAAAGACATTCAATTAATTTATGTTTCCATGTTGCCAAATGTCAGAGTGATGCATGGTCTGTAATTTAAGTCTTGACAGACTATATTACCCTACTTTGAGTCCTGCCTCACCTCATATATGAGAGAGAGAGAGAGAGAGAGAGAGAGAGAGAGAGAGAGAGAGAGAGCTTATTGGAGGAGAGCAGCGGTGGTCAGCCTATAAATACCATAAATGCGTAAAGAGAAGACCAGAGCCACTGGCATCACCGGGGTGGGGGGGGTTTCAGGATTCACTTCGCCGCCAACAGTCGCCTATTCTCGGGTGGGACAGCTGTCCTCTCCGGGTACACACATCAGACCAGCATGTCTCTATCGGGGCGTCCCAACACGGTCCGGCTGCTGTTCCTCGGAGCAGCGGGGGTCGGTAAGAGCGCGCTCATCCGCCGCTTCCTCCACGACCACTTCGAGCACAAGTACACGCGCACAGTCGAGGAGCTTCACGTGCTGGTGTACGACACCGCCGGGTCCGGGAAGATGCGTCTGGAGATCTTGGACACGAGCGGCAGCTACTCCTTCCCGGCGATGCGGGAGCTCAGCATCCGACACAGTGACGCGTTCGCGCTCGTGTACGCGGTGGACGACCCCGGGTCCCTCGAGGAGGTGCGGCGGCTCCGCGACGAGATTCTGGAACTACGGGGCAACAAGAGCGCGCCCATCACCGTGGTCGGCAGCAAGGCGGACCTGAGGGACACAGAGGGTCGCGTGCTGCTGGCGGCTGACGTCATGGCCACAGTGGAGGACGATTGGGACGCCAACTTCGTGGAGGCGTCCGCGCGCACCGGGGGGAACGCGGTCGGGGTGTTCCGCGCGCTGCTGCAACAGGTGAACCCGCCGCGCCTGCTGAGCGCTGATGCGGTGTGGAGGCGCAGAGACACGGTGCCCAGACCAGCAGTGAAGAAGAGACCACCACTGAAGAAGAACAACAGCTGTGCCCTGTCGTAGGGGACATTTGCTCTGGTTTCTCTGCAGCTGGACTGCTCGTGCTCAGGTGTTGCTGGTCATCACAGTACTCAACCTGGTTTAGTCAGAAATAGTTGAATGGGAGCTGTGATATGGGATACACTTTATTTAAAGATTCACATTTTCGTGTCTCTACATTTTCTTTTTATCTTTTGTGAATAAAATATTTGTTGTGATTTTTGTCTGCTGCCTGCTTTCATATTTTCAATCAAATGCACTCCAGTCAGCACTGAGATGACTTGATCTAATGAAAGTGTGTATAAAGTAATTTTATCGTTGTAAAAGTATGCCTCAGTGTAAAAATACTCCCAAGTAAAAGAACAACATCAACAAGTTGACCTATGTTGCAAAGTATACTGCCAAAGTAAAATTAAAAGTGCTTGTGGTGCATAACAACCCTTGTCAAAGAGATTTGGATCTTATGGAACATTAGCATGATAGGTATAGCTTTTTATATTGTGGTTGAAATAAAGCTAATTTGAGCTTCTTGATACAGCCTTGCAGCATCTTTGTCAAATATAAAACCTGGATCTTCAAATCTAAATGTAATGAGAATAATACAATATTTGCCTTTGAGATGTAAAAGCATTAAGTTGTCTAACACAAATATTCAAGTAGCCTAAAGTACAGTAGGCCTATACTTCAAATTGTACTTGAGTAGGCTGCAATACTTCATGTGCCTTCCACCACTGAAGTCCGGAGCTTAGTGATGTTGTCCCCTTTGAAAAATGTGAAATAAATTATTATTCACCCCTCACTTCCTGCTCAGTAGGCCCTATCTTAAAGGACCTATACCAGTGTTTGACTTTGGTTTTATTATTTTTACAAAGACCATTTAGTCAATACCATCTCCACACCATATGAAGGATAGACAGATTTTGGCTATTATAAGTATACTCTGTATTATGTTCCAGATAAAATGCTTTAAAATCTGCAAAGAGGCAACCATCTTGCTATGGTGCCTTTAGGGACCTTGAGTATATATTTGTCCTTGTCTCTACACAATTTGCAAAGGACATATAAGACATAATAATACTAGGATTCACATTTTTAAATTGTCATTGTGGGCTAATACATTAAATGAGCTTACCCTTTCTTATTCTTGCCTCATCATTGTTTTGATGATGAACGCGAGCTGCCATTGTTAGCCTCAGTGGAGGCATAGAGGGAATATTCATATCAGTCTGTGCTGCATAAATAAAAAATAGCTGCTCACTTTACATGTGCTGTTTTGGATGTTAAACACACACACACACGTCAAGTGGAACAAAGAGGATAAAAAAGCTCACGATTCTCGTTGTCTTCATTAATCTGCCCTCTTCTCATCCACTTATGCTCCTCTTATGTTTCTCTACTTACCTACTAAAGATATAACACAGACGTGGGCACAAACACATCAGAGAACAAGAAGAAGATATTAGTAGTGCTGCTGATGAAATCACGTTCTCTCTGTTTGGTTTTAAAACATGTTGGTGCAAGATTACACATTATAAATATATTGTTTGTGTGCAACCTGTACTATCATTCACCAAATGGAGTGAGGCAAATGAAAAAAAGAGTGCTGCAGTACTCATTCAATAGAATTAAGTTAAAGTGACTGTATTTACCATTTGCACAGGTGAAATACACAAAATACACGCATATTGGAGTTTTTGCAGTTTTCTCAGTCATTTAAATAAAATAAAAAAAATAGAGAAACAGGAATATTATTTTTTTAATTACATGTTACACGTGTTGCATTAAGTAAAACAATAAGAAATTAAAATCAAGAAAAATATCAAAATACAGTGCATGACATGTATTGGCTCAGCAGTTTTCAGCAGGAGGCCTATCTTTTGTATGAGCACCCTGTTTTATTATGATCAAGGTAATGACAATAAGGAGCATTATTATTAGTTGCAGAGTGAGTAGGAGTCGTGGAAGTTATAATGGAAATTGAGTAGAAACACAACGCACCACGAGGCAGCGTAATACCAGCGAGATATTAGACACTGTAAACCATATCCGTTGCAGTACTGCATGGTATGCAAGATTACCATGTGCCCTTCACGCTGTATTTTGACAAATGCTGCCCCTTACTGACGAAAAAATGCATAAACTCATAAACCTCATGTTCAAACTGTCATACTATCTGTTAGGCCAGCTGTGGTGGAATGATATTCTATCTAAGTAAAAGTACCTAGCTCAGTGTAAAAGTATTCACTTCCAAGTTAAAGGCCTGCATCTGAAAAATTCATTTAAATGTTATTCAGAAACAAAAACAAAATGTAGCCTACTTAAGGTATCAAAAGTTAAAGTAACCTCCTCAGAATGAGCCTGCCAGTGATATATTATTATTACATATCGGGCTATAATGTTGGGATCACACTGGTGTCAGGTGTCACTACATGTAAGCAGCATTTTTTATTTTGTAGTTGGTTGTCCAGCTATACTATAAGTTCATTATACTTTAAATACTATTAACTATACTTTAAATACCGCTGTTGGGTAGATTAAGTTTTTATTAACTCTGCATATAGGTAACTTGTTGGTCTACTTATAATTCTCAAATAAAAACACATGACTTCCTGGTGATTTATGGGCCTATTGGAGTAACAGTATAAAATTATTAGCAGAAAATGGAAATAGTCGTACATCTCAAAATTGTACTCAAGTACAGTAGCCAGCTTTATGTACATATTTGCAGACACCACTGGTACCTAGAAGGTTAGATACTCATGGATCCAAAATAAACTTTCACTTTTGACTCTATTACATTCTACTTGTATGTATTTTGTTAAATGTGGAATAAGTTATTGCGACATTGAGAATTGTACTCTGTGCTACTGCGACTTTAACTCGAGTAAAGTATTTAAATGCATTTCCTCACTAAACCCACGACATCTGTGTGTTCTCAACAACTGTTTCTTTAAATCCCACTCCGGCGACATTTTGCGTCGCTGCCGTGTATTTTTCGGAAACGCTGATCGACCAGAACCCGGCATTCAGCCAATCACAACGCAGAACGTGACTGTCTCGTTCAGTGATTGGCTGTTTTCGCGCTGCTCTTCCCACGATGCTTTGCGGCCCGGCTTGGAATTCAAATTGAGCGGACCAATCAGAGAGCGCCGTAGCGACCGAGGCAGCATTTAAAATTTTGTACCAGCGACTGTTGTCAAAAGGCAGGACGGAGTAACGCTGCAGGCACCGAGGAGCGAGTCCGGCGACTAGTTGCATGTCTGTCTCACGGCTTTTTTAAACTTAAGAATCGCGCGAACATTTTGTTTTTATAGTTGAATCGAAAGGTTTGAATGACGTTCGCGTTCAAAGGTGGTTAACGATAGTTTTGATTTGAATTCACCATTGTATGCAGCCTAGCTTCCAGGACTAAACTAACGCCGGGTTAACAATAGTTTGACCCTTGCAGGAAATTATCGTTACTTCGACTGCTTGAGAGGTTTTTTTGTTTTTTTTAAAAGTCTATTTTTAAAGACGCCGAAGAGCACTTTTGTTCCAAAATGAGTGCAGCTATCGCGAAGCCGGCGAATCCGTCGACACATGTCGACCCGAAATCGGCTCCTCTGAAGGAAATCCCAGAAGTCCTGGTTGACCCACGCACCATGAGGCGATACGCGAGGGGAAGGTTCCTCGGAAAAGGTGGCTTCGCCAAGTGCTACGAGATCACGGACGCGGAGACGAAGCAGGTTTTCGCCGGGAAAATCGTGCCCAAGTCCCTGATTCTGAAGCAGCACCAGAGGGAGAAGATGACCTCCGAGATCGCCATCCACAAGAGCCTCAACCACGCCAACGTCGTCGGTTTCCATGGCTTTTTCGAAGACGACGACTTTGTCTTCGTTGTGCTGGAAATCTGCAGGAGAAGGGTGAGTGTACACGGGTCATGCATGCTCTCTCCCCCGTTATGTAACCAAACGGGGCGCGACGGTTATCACGACGGCCTCTCCCAGCGGAGAGCGCTTACGTTGCAAGAAAAGCCAACGGGATTTTGAACGTGGTCGCTTAAAGTGACATCAAACTTGAAAAAAAAAGCGTGTTGCCGACTCACTTTCCTATTTGATGGTCGCCTCCCAAATATTTGCGTTGTGTTCATTGTGCATTCCTTACGCTAATATTCAAACCATTTCACAATACTGCCCCTCAAAGCTGCGTTATTGCCACAGTGGCCCAAGCCTCGCAGCAGGAATATGAGAGTTACAGGCTTTGTTTTAACTGCTTCAATTTAGCTTTTTATTTATGAATCTTAATATTCTTTCTTTTCAGTCCCTGTTGGAGTTGCACAAGCGTCGTAAGGCTGTGACCGAGCCCGAGGCCCGCTACTACATGACTCAGCTGCTCCACGGAGTCCAGTACCTGCACAACAACAAAGTCATCCACAGGGACCTGAAGCTGGGCAACATCTTCCTCAATGATGAAATGGAGGTCAAGATAGGTATGTTGTGCTGTAGGATTGCAAATGATGATTATAATTGTTTTTTTCCCCCTCTTGTCATACTTGAGACGGGAGGTAATGCATAACATTTATCTAGATTCAAACAAACCTGTTGGTCCACTTTTATAGCACGGATCACGGCCCTCACATCAGGAAGTTGTCGTACTTCCGTCCTGGTTGAGTGGTCTCATGAGAATAAAACACACAAATAAGCTTTCGACAGGGACATTTAAACATTAAAGTTTTTTGGTTTTTTTTTCTTGGATGTGTCCACACAGAAACCTGAATAATGCATTCATTTCAGTCTGCTGCTTTACGAAAGCTTGACTGTCTTTGTCTCTGTTTAGGGGACTTTGGTTTGGCCACCAAGATCGAGTTTGACGGCGAGAGGAAGAAGACCCTGTGTGGAACGCCGAACTACATCGCACCCGAGGTGCTTTGTAAGAAAGGCCACAGCTATGAAGTGGACGTCTGGTCGCTGGGGTGCATATTGTGAGTCTGAACACACACACACACAGCTTTTGTTGCCGTGTATGTAAAAAACAACCACCTCTCTTCCACTTGATTCAGTCTGCTCTGCATGCCTCCTCTCAGGTACACTTTGTTGGTGGGTAAACCCCCGTTTGAGACCTCCTGTCTGAAGGAGACCTACAATCGCATCAAGAAGAACAACTACACCATCCCCTGGGTAAGCTGGACTAATGTGTCGCACAATATGCCTTCAATATATATATATATATATATCTATATATATCTATATATATATCTATATCTATCTATCTATCTATCTATCTATCTATCTATCTATCTATCTATCTCTTCTCTTTTTAAATATACAACTAATTTCATAACCCCCCCCCCGGCAGCACATCAACCCTCTGGCGACCTCTCTCATCAAGCGGATGCTGCACGCGGATCCCGCCCAAAGGCCGACCATCGCTGAGTTGCAAGCCGACGAGTACTTCACAACCGGCTACATCCCCACACGCCTGCCCACCACATGCCTCACCGTGCCCCCGCGCTTCTCCATCGCCCCCTCCACGGCCGCAGAGCTCAACCAGAGACGCCCCCTGACGGCCATTAACAACAAAGGTAAACGCTTGCTGAAAGGACACGGCCCACCGCGACTCGCCAGAGATGCTTTGTAGTCGACAAATAATTCTGAAATGTTTTTTTTTTTCTCTCTTTCCCTACAGCCGGGACAGAGAAGGTGGCCGTGAAGGACGAGCCGCTGCAAAGGTGAGAGATGTTTGAGATGGAAGTGCTCACAATTTAACTTTAAAAAAACGCATGTGACGATGCAGAATGGCTTTTTGCGTCTTTATGTTCCGAGTCATGTTTTTATGCAATATAACCGTTGTGTCGTAGGGAGCCTGAGCCAGCAGAGTGCCACCTGAAAGACCTGCTGCAGCAGCTCAACAGCATCAACGCCGCCAAGCCGTCCGAGAAGGCGGTCGTCTGCCAAGGTGAGAGCGGACTCTCCAGTTTAGTCAACAAATCCTTTTGTTTTGTTTAATTGTTGCACATGTTGGAGGTTTGGATCGACTCTGTGCTCGTGTCGACTTGCATACCAAGACTTTGTTCTGTTTTTGTGTCTGCAGAAGAGGCGGAGGATCCTGCGTGTATTCCCATCTTCTGGATCAGCAAATGGGTCGACTACTCTGACAAATATGGATTAGGTAAGATAACCCGGCATTAGACTGAGTTCATGGCTTTCAAGCTACATGCAAAGAATGTTTTGCAATTAAAACTCGGTTATCGTCAGCCAATGGACGTTTTCTCACAGGTTTACCTGGACTGTCACAGGTGTAACTGATAACAGTAAAGGAATATTTGTTATTTTGAAACGCTTTCCCACATGCCTCCATGGTGAACGAAGAATCAAATAACAGAGAAAATCTGTGATGAATTGAAGTAAATAAGAGCCTTGTTTAACAGCAACTAAACCATATTTTAAAAATGAGTAAGTTATCCGGTTGTAAACAAAGTCCTTCAAGACTTTCCTCCTCTTTTTATCCATCCAACTTCTGTTTCACTGGCACTTTAAAGTTATTGGTTACACCTGTGCTTGTCCTGCGATTAACAAGAAATGGCTGTTGTGAAATGCCAAAGTTGCCTTTTTAAAAACCAGCTTTAATATAGGCGCTCCTCATGAAAGGTTTCAACATGTGCGTTTCAGGCTACCAGCTGTGTGACAACAGCGTGGGCGTGCTCTTCAACGATTACACGCGGCTCATCATGTACACCGACGGAGACAGTCTGCAGTACATCGACAAGGCGGCAGCTGAATCGTACCTCAGCGTGCGCTCCTTCCCCCCCGCGCTCAACAAGAAGGTCAGTCGTCGACTCTACATCCACCTCGAGCCCTTCGATTACATTCTGTCATATCCTATCATGGATTCTTATGTGCCCCTTCCTTCTCTAGATAACGCTGCTGAAATACTTCCGCAACTACATGAGCGAGCACCTGCTGAAGGCCGGCGCCAACATGGCTCGGCGGGACGGCGACGAGCTGGCGCGGCTGCCTTACCTCTCCCTGTGGTTCCGCACCAAGAGCGCCATCGTCCTGCACCTCTCCAACGGCACCGTCCAGATCAACTTCTTCCAGGTAAGACGGCGTCTTTATTCAATCGCCATCTTGACATCGGCCGTCGAATCCGACCTTTTTCGGAGCCGACGTTTTTTTTTCCTCCCACATTAAACCCCTTTTCTCTCTGCCAGGATCACACCAAGCTGATCCTGTGCCCGCTGATGGGCGCGGTGACCTACATCGACGAGAAGCGAGAGTTCCGCACCTACAAGCTCTCTCTGCTGGAGGAGTTCGGCTGCTGCAAGGAGCTGGCCAGCCGCATGCGCTACGGCAAGCTCATGGTTGAGAAACTGCTGGACAGCAAGCCTTCCTCCACCGCACATTAGACCAGATCACTCCACGGTCCTTGATCTGTCTCCCCCCTCCCCCCTCCCCCAATCATCGGCCACTGCTCCTGTCTGCCAGCCGTTCGGACGACTCTTAAATTCTCCCATATTTTATTGAAGGGTCACAGTGTACCGATTTTTGCAGCCGCGCCATGAAAATGAATTCCCTTGTTGTACATTATTGTTCTCTAAGCCACTGACTCTTGTCCTTTTTCTTCCTGCTGTTTATAAACTTCTTGACTTTCTTGGTGAAACTGAATCTTGACAAACGCGTTCTCGCTGACGTAATCGAACACGACTGCAGACGAGTTGACTCTGCACGTTCAGATGAGACGAGGAGGGAAAGACGCATGTCGGGTGTTCAAATTCCCCGATTGCTCGTTTGATTTGTTCACACATCAGTCGTGCTTTTAAACCCTAAAAGCCGGGTGGACGAATGAGAACGGCTCTCTGGTCTGGTTCTTTTTTTATGTGTTGTATGTAGAGATGGACCATGTTAATACGTCTTCATCATGCACATTCTCCCTGTAGTAACTTTTACACTTTTTATATAAGTCTATTTTAGATGTCTTGTCTTTCTCTACAAGATGTGCAAACGTGTACATACTGGTGAATATGCATACATGTTGTAAAGATGGTTTGAATAAAGATTCTCTTGAACTTGACAAAGTTTGGTAACATTTGATGCTTATAAAATTGTTCTTGGTGACTTTTGTCTGCACATAAACAAGACCGACATTTTAAAGGTAATTCTTGATCAAGGAAACCGTGCTTGACCAAAGAAGTAGCAAGTATTGGAAAAATGAATTTCGGAACGTGGAAAATCCTCCATTCCCAAGAATCCTTGGGTTCTGAACCCTAAATTGCTGTGCCATCGGTGAGCAGTAGAATAGATCCTGAGGGCAGGTTGGCAGCTTCTGTGTGTAAATGTTGGCGTGTACTGTGCATTTAAATGCCCAACATACAGTTTAGGATGCCAGCAAAATACTATGTAGGATGCCAGAAATAGGATGTTCTCCATCTGGTCGTATTTGGCTGAATGCAAGCCAGTGTGTTTTTGTGATTTCAAAAGCAGATATGTGACCAACGGGGCCAAAAGTATAAGGTGCCATGTTGTAAACATAAATGTAAATCCATTTACTAAGTAGAAGAAAAGCTAAAGAACAGGCAAAAACTCCGGACCACGAAGAGTAACCTGTAATCTGTTTCTGGCGCCTCCTGGCGGACACATACATACATGACGGCTGAATTTATAGTATTTGACAAATACACATTTCTCGATTCTGAGTGAACTTTTTATTTTTTACTGTTAACTCTAAAGATCCAAAATGTATTAATGCAACAAACACTTCATGCATGTCTCAGGATGAAGTGATTTAACTTTATCAAAATACAAGTATATTTTATAAATATGATTCTAAATGCAGCTAGCGTTAGAATGTAAACTACTTTTGTTATTGAAGCCTTTTTTGCAGACGTCAATGAATTAATTGATTTTCGTGAATATTGCCCGAATGTGTCAAAGCAGTGAAAGGTTTTACAACAGTTGAGTCCACACAGACGGCTGCTGAGCTTTGAAAAGTGAACTCGGTGTTGAGAAATGTGTTTAACAAATTGTAAATATAAAAACTGACTGTACACGTCTGTATTTGGGTGTTTACATTCACATTGTTGACAATGAAAAAGCATTTTCTGACTAACAAATGAAATCACAGTGAGTCCAAGAAATACACAAAATGTTTAATGTCAATTATAAAAACAAACTTTAGCAACTCTTCTCTTTCCTGAAATATAAGACGTATAACAATGTATTCAAGTAACGCTCTAAAAACAGTGCAGACATTTTTTTAACAATTCAGTCTTTTATGTTATTTTATAAATACCAGCAGGCCCACCGACTTGTTGAATGTGCTCAGTTTACAGTATATACATGTCTTTATTTTAGTAGTGCAGTAGATTACAGAGACTCTCCTATTCATGGAAGCTGGAATGTCTTTAAGTGAAGTATTTGAAGTATTTTAAAAGGTTAAAATCTTCATGTAAACATTCATACAGTGACAGTTAGATGTTTTTATTTGATAAAAGTGATCTTTACTGCGCAGTCTGACCCGTACTGTGACGGTGTAAAGTCACGTCTCCGTTGTGGTGACCGGTCACCAGCGTACCTCCTTCTCCCCATCGAGCCAGCTGCCAGCCTTCGCTCTCAGGGGACCGCACCATCCTGGAGGCCCCCCGGAGCCCGAGCTCCCACACGCACACACGGCCGCTCTGACTGAGGCCGACCACGCTGGAGCCGCCGACGTCTGCTTCACACAGCCTTAAGGCAGAGGCGAGGGTTAAATTACACAAACGCACGTATGCAGAGACACACGAATACGTCCGGCCTCCACTCACCTGCCAGACCAGGCGTCGGGCGGATGTAGCCGAGAAGCCAGGACCGATGCTCCGCTCAGAGGGTTAATGGCGACCAGCGAGAACAGGGCGGCCATCTTCCTCTCCTCGTCCTTCTCTTCTGCTTCGTCCTCCAGGGAGCTGAGCGACTGATGCTGCAGCAGGACGACCAACACTCCCTGTGCACCAACACACACACACAGTATGAGTGAGACAGTTATCATGAGACACCTTCATGCATGCAAAGCAAACAGACTTACAGAGGAGGAGTATCCTCTGAGACAGGCCATGTGGGATAAACCGTCTCCGAGGACGATTCTCCGCAGCAGCTGTCCAGTCTTTAAATTCCTGGAACACAAAATACATTCAACTGTAAACAGACAGTTACAGTTATTCTAACCAGCAAATATGTATCTAAATTAGGAAACATGGATTGCTTATGTTCTTCAAATGTGTCTTAAATAATCCAAACCAGCCGGCTGTTCTCAGGCTTAAATAATCATGAATTCTCATCCAGCTAACTATTATTTGACCGCAGTTTGAGGATTTATTTGTCAATCCTGGATTAAATAATCTCAAATAACAGTGTGCTCTTATTTTGAAATAAAGGCCAAATGAGTAATGAATTGAAACCATGATGATTGAAACATTTATATTTTACAATACAAAATATAAAACCGTATCAAAATCTCTCAAAAAGCAGCTCAAATTTCATAAACAATTTTTGAGATTTATGTTTTGCAATCATTTGATACATTTTAGTTTTAAAAATGGCAAAATTATATTCTGGCTCTGTTGGTCTCTCAACAGGCATCATCTTTCAGTTAAGTTTATGTTTCTCTGCTCAAAGTTTCAACTCAACTAACACCGATTGCATTCATTTATTTGATTAATATGCACCGTCGCTGGTGCTTTATGGAGCTTTTTGTGAGGTAACCATTAGCGCGGCGATGACTTCTCCGTTACGACCTTGCTCACCAGACGAAGAGGCGTCCGCCCTCGTTTGAGCCAATCAGAGCGTCTAAAAGTCCGTCCACTGGAGCGAGAGCCCCGACACGAACACCAGGAGACACGAGAGGCCGAGAGCTCCATGTGCTGAGAGAGAGAGAGAGAGAGAGAGAGAGATAGAGAGAGAGAGAGATGAGACACTGAGATATCTGAGCAATGAGGAAATAACTCAGAGCATAAACACAACGCCGACTCTGTGTTACCTGCCGCTGTCTGACGGCGTGAACACCTGCAGGGTGGAACCAGAGGCCGAGTGGGACGAGGTGACCACTCTGGACTTGGACACGCCCACGACGGCCTGAACCACGCCCTCACAGAGCAGCGCCTGTGAGAGGCTGCAGCACGACAGCATCCTGCGCACACGGACGACACACACACACACACACACACACACACACACACACACACACACACACAGTCAAGTTTAAGAAGTTTGGATAAACCTCGGTTTTGTCGTGTCCATTGAAAAATATTTGAAATGTAGCATGTTAAAAAAATAACATGGTTGTATTCACCTCACTTCTCTGATTTCCAGCTGACCCAGAGTCACACACATCAGCCCGGCAGCATTCGGGAGCGGAAACACGTTGATCACCGGCTGTAAACAAACACAGCAATTAATCGTGTAAACAAAAAAAAACATTGGATGTTTGACAGAACTTAAGTGTGCCACATTATTGGTCCTGGAAACAGGAAATATTGAGTCAACTGTCGATTTTGTCCTATTTGAGTCTTTAAACATAATTCCAGCTACAGCTAAACGTCCCAGTTTTTATTTTCTGTAACTATTTATTTATAGATTCATTACTTGCCCAAAGTCACGTCACAAAACAAAAAAAAATCCAACGATATTGAATTCACAATGATATTAATCAATGACTGTGATATGCAGGTGTGCACACACCCACACACTCACCTTATTGAAGGCCCAGGTGTGTGTTAACGTCCAATCAGCAGCTGAAGTGTGACTCCAGAGACACACGGCCCACGCTCCGGCTGCTGCGACACACAGACCACCTGAGGAGCCGCGCAGACAGCACGCATCCACCAGACAGCCTCCTGCTGGGGCCTGAACAGACACACACACACACACACACACACACACACACACACACACACACA